AGGCAGGCAGGCAGTTGAAATATCAATTGACTGAATTTTTAATATTCATAATTCGGTAAGATAACGGCACAATGATTTTGAATTGCAACATTCTTACACAATTTTAAAACATTAAGATTTTCAAAACTACAAATAATAAACAGTAACTACGTACGTAAAAACAGTATCTTCTAACTACGTACATAATTGCGTATCTATTGAAAATTAGAGATCTGAAATTGCCAATAGTCGAATGTAATTAATAATAATGCACACGCATACCTATACAATACAGTCCATTGCTTAGAACATATCAAACCGGGGTATATTCAATGAAATTGCTATGTAAAATTATAATATACTTCTTTTAGTAGCACAACGTCGAACAACTTATATTTATTTTGTTACCATGGCAAACGCTTCATAACTTAAATATTAATTTATTGATAAATGCGTACTTTACTGACGAAGTGATTATAATGATTTTAGATATGTAAAGAGTGGATAAAACATCTATTTGAAACTATATCATTTACATTTTAATAACCTATTTTTCATTGATAAAGTATGTATGTACATAATTTCTATTTGTTTTCTGGGTAACGAAAGAACAACCCACGGAGAACTTATGGGGTTACCGGAGCTCCGGCTCGAAGTGCAGGAGTAATAATGGGGTGTTTTTAATCAGTAAGAGTCTGACACCCCTCCCGCCTCACCCAGGCGGGAGAAGGGATACACACCAAACATTTTATCATAAATAAATTATATTATTATTTTAATAAATTATTAATTTTTACTTCATTGACTGTAAACAAAAATCTACAATACTACAATACTGGTACAGAAAATCACTTATTCAACATTTTCAATGTTAAAATTAGCATTTAAAAGGATTTGTTTGGGTTTTCCCTAATATTTGGATATTTAAACAATACTATAGTTCAATAATACTGTACTCAGTTATTTCTCATTTTTCCAGTGGTTGTGAACCATGAACCATGACTAATATTTACCGACACCTAAAAGTGAACCCTTGAATTATTATTCAGTACAACTTGATGTCTTTGAGAACACTTTAGAGTATCAATCAATATTTAACTCGTCGAGTACCGGTTTTGTAGACACAATTATAGAACAATAGGTTGCGGTCACCGGTGACCGCTTGGTGTTTGACAGTTTAAAGCTACAATAACTAACTAGAACAACAAATGAAATAAATAAAAATGCAAACTTATCAGCTCTATATAAATAATTATGTAGCAATAGCAACAACTAGGTAGTGTAACCAACTAGTGAGTGTGTAGTACCTAGGAGACAACTCCTTTGTCAAGGCTAAGGTACAGGTCGGTACCTTGCACTCGGTTTTAAATCTTTTACTGTTCATAAAATAGAAAAGCACAATGCTAACCTTTGCAATACATGTGGTGAAGAATAATTAGATGATTTAGAACATATTTGTTCTTAAGTATAAAATACATATAAAACGTAAACTAGAACAATATTACATAAGTATTATTTAGGAATGTGTTTGTTTCTAGGTTGTTTATATTGTTAGCGTCATTAACGTATATAATTATTTGTAAAACAAGCTCATTTTATAAAAAAATGATTTTGAGATTGATTCATGATAGCACAAGTTTAAACCTTAGTGAATTTTGGTTGCTATTTTAAATGGATAATCGTGTACGTATTGTAAATATGATAATAAAAAAAAAATTAAAAAATGACCGTGTCAGGAATGACTTTTGAGTCAAATTTAGTCACAGCATGGATTTTGTAGTCGCACTCGTTAATACGATTACTTACAGAGGTAGTTACAGAGATTAGTTACTTAAAAAGAAAGGGTAGGCAGAGGCCTACCTTTTCTTTTTAAGAAAAAAAAACTTTATCACTGTTGATTCATAATTTATGTAAGTATAATATTTATGCAAAAACAATGTTTATAAACATTGCAACTTGCATAAATCAGCCTTCATTCTATAAAACTTGATCTTGTAGTGTTTATGTAGGCACTAGGCAATTAGCTGATGGCCTAAGCAGTATTAGATATAACTATTTTCTACTTACTTGCAATAAATTGTAACTCCGGTATTGTGGGTATCCATGGGTGACTTAAACATCATATAAAGCGGCACATAAACAGAAACATTTATAAGTATACCATGTAAAAGTATCACTTTGTAATGTTTTGTTTAATACTCCAAGGTATAGAAACTTAAGATAACACCTATTAGTGAAATTCCCATAATAAAGCAAAAGTAAACATTTCTTTTAGCCTATTTTTTTAATTTGTAAATTTTCACGCCCATCATTAACATAATTCGGTATTAGTAGTTAGATGACAAAATGTTACGTAAGAACACATTAAACAGGGTGTTCTTATTGAATTGGCATTCGAGGGGACGACAGGTACAGACACAAATATCTGACACTGACATTGAGCTCACGTAACCCTTGCAGCCTGAAAGTGAACCAAATGTTTACAAATACCTATGTTTGTTCAATGTAATTGTTACTGAATTTGTACTCTACCTATATCTCTACCTGTATCTTTCTATTCTTCTTAAACTAAGTAAGCAACTTAGGAAGAGATTTATGTATATGGATGTAAAAAATGAAATAATTTATATTTAATTGGTTGATTATGCAAATTCATATGTGTCCATCCTTCAATTATGAGTACTCTGGAGATAGAAGAATATAAATATAAAAAATTTCGTAAAAATATAATCAAAGGTGCTATCTACAATTCTAATAACAGTTACTTTATCTTACAACAATCGCTGTAATACAAGTGTATAATAATAATATTGTGATTGTAAATGTCATTGTCATCTGGATTAGGCTCAACAAAAAAAAAGATAATTGGCTGTGTGACATATTTGACAGCTGTCAAACAGCGGAGCTTCCGCGCTCGCGCAATGCTAGTGTAGATACGAGTACGTGGGTAGAATACACAATTACACATTACACATTGTAAAGAATAAAACAAAAACATTTGCGACAAAAAACTTATATTAAAACATGTTCAAACGTTTTGGAATCAGAGTCATTGAGCAAGCCAAAGTATTTCGGTATTGTTTGGTTTATCAGCGGACGTAGTATGCTGAGTAGCCGTATGGGTAGGCAGCATAGGGAGCGGAGTAGGCAGCGGCGACGGGGGCGTAGGCGTAGGGGTAGCCAGCGGCAGCGGAGTAGGTCAGCACCTGGGGCTCAGGCTTGGGGTTGGGGTTGGCAAAAGCCACGGCCAACACGGCGAAGAGGGCGAACTGTGAACATTAAATTATTTCAATTACATAACGTCATCAAAAGACACACTGGTTGGATAAAAGAAATAGAATCAAAATACAGCAACTGAATAGTCGCTTAATCACTTATTTTCGAGGTTTAAATATTGTTGAGAAAACCTTTACAATTCTTATTCGGGTTATAGCAATATATTTTGATACATCATATCTCTGTATGTCACGCTAGTCATTAACAAATAATGAACAGAAATACTTAATAAATTGACAAAATCAATTTCATTACAGAACAGACAAAAAAAGTAATAAAATGTACCTAATGATTGTTAGTAATTATTTTTGGAAAAGCAAAACAAAAAGCTCACATTTCTCCGTGTGGGTCAGATAACATAAAGTTATATTGTTATGATAAAATTTCCGCCGGTCAACAGCCGAAGTCATGTGTAAACGATATAGAGGTAGAGAAACAAACGACACTGTCCCTTGTTATCGTGATATCTTTCGCTAACAAGCTAAATGATACTAAACATTTACCCCAATTGTACCTATATAATAACTTGGTCGCCCTTCAAGTTTATTTGCAGATAAAAAACTTTATGTCTAAGCTGAATTTTGGTTGGAGGCCTACCGTCCGGAATTTAGTATAGTATTCAATCAATACATCGACATTTAATTTAGGATTGACTCATGAAGGAAATTTGACACAGTCTATCATGAGTCGCAGTAATTAAAACAAGTTTGAATTATTTGTGCTGAAGTTCTCTAAAATTATTATTTTTGGGATTCACTCTGTCAATTTAGAAGTGAATGCACACTGCGCCTAGTTATCTATTCCAAATACCATGTTAATTGAAATAAATATTAATTTAATATTAAATGATTAAAAATAAATATTTGTATCAACTTACCAGTCTGAAGAACATGGTTGTAGAGTAACTTGGGATTGCTGTCTCAAGTGATACTGTTGGTCTGTCGGTCCTGGCTTATATACAGATACAAACGACCACGCCCCGATTAGCAGTCTTGTCGTTCTAAGATAAAAAACTGTCCTTGATCTTCAGTGTAATGAATGAATCTATGTACAAGTACTCGATCCATATACATGATATCACATTAACATCCGCGTTGGGCGGCATCGTCCTATACAGTATGTACTAGGGCATTACAAAGTAGCTTTGTTCACTATTCATAAATACTGCAGTTATAGGTTCCAGTTATTTAAAACAAACCTTATTTAAATTTTAATAGGCTGTCTAATTGGATCATGCTACAACTGCGTGAATTGTTTATGATTAAATTCAACTTGGTTGTTTAGTTTTAGTTGCATCTGAGTCGCCTGGGGAGGTAGTTATGTATCATCTGGTATACTAGTAAATAACATATATTTTTGAGATAGATAACAATTTGATAAATTAGGAATCTTAATATATGTGCAAGTTAATCGTTAAGAAGAAAATATAGGGCAATTTTTCAGTCATACATGGGCGTAGAGTGTGCTGTAATTTTGAAACATATCAGAACATATAAGATAATTTAAGTTGTGTTTTAGAGCATGATAGATCATTATTCACTGAATACAGTCACAACAATTAATAATCTTATTCAACTTTAAATTTTGTGTATCTAATTACATTTTAGTACACAACATAGCGGGCATGTTGTTCTTCCACAAATCCAGATTTCACCAATCATAATTATTATTTCAGTCTCAATGTAACAAGGAATAATTAAGGGACAAGTAACACAACAAGACGTCACGCCCTTTAATCTAAAAAGATCCCTTCTGCTGGCAGATGTAAATATACAAAATCATTTTAAGTCTGTCATAGGGAGTGAGCCTATTGTCATATTAAGGAGTACTTTGACACAATAATTATACATGCATATATACTTAACCTCACGCTTCTCTCTTATTGAGTTAGGCAGAAACTATGGAACACCAATTGCTACAATTCTTACGTAGGTTTTTTGCGTCCTCAACAGTCATCAGTCTTCATGTATATGTCGGAGGATGGTATGGGCGATGTCAAGCGAGAGCCCTCTTCGTCATATATATCGGTAGAGGTATGTTTATGCAGTAATAAAACAATTAAATCTTCGTAAATAAAGTAACGTTTACTTTCGGCAGTGCACCTTGTTCGCATTTTAATTAAGTCGGCATTTCCTACGGACTACTCTGAGAAGAAACGCCGAAACAAACTCAGAGGTCTCAGTCCCTTTCAAAGTTCACAAATGGTCAAAATACATCAAAGTTTAGTCCACTTACATTGTAATAATATTCACAGTTATAATCTCAAACAATATAATGTCAATGACAATTTCACAG